TTGCACTTTTAGTATTATATAATGAGTGCATTTTTGAGGTCTCCATCTGTCTGCCTCTATTTATTAAACTTTATCATGGCAGTGACCAACTTTTAACTGTAATTTTTATTAAATGTCAGATACTACCATGTCCATTTAATTTTAGCATCACACCAGAAGACAGGTATTTTAACCCCATATCAGAGCTGAGATTGTTCAGCGGGTAGAGTGCCTGAAAGGATGAGAACCTCCAGTTCAGACCCCCAACACCCATGTAAAAGCCAGGTGTGGTAAGCTCAGAACTGGGGGATGGAGACAGGCAGAATCTAGGGGCTAGCCCATCTCAACTATTGAGCGCTAGATTCTGTTTCAAAAAATAACAGAGAGAATGATAGAGGAAGACACTTGACATTCACCTTTGGCCCCTAGATGCGCTACAAAAAAATTAAAGCTAAGATCATACTCAATGGTAAGAAATTGTAAGCTCCCTTGCTCAAATCAGAAACAATTAATGATACCCCCTCAAGCCACTTCCTCTCAACACTGTATTGGGAGTCCTAGCAAATGCAATCAGACAAGAAAAAGAAGTAAAACGCATATAGATTGGGATAGAGCTTTGTTTAAAGATAGCATGATCATCTATCAACACAGAAATTCCAAAGGAATCACCAATAAACCAATCTTAGAACTAATAGTAACACCAGGGTTAATGTAAAAAGCCACTTTCTTATATGTCAATAAAAAACAGATAAAATTCAGAATGTAAAAAAATGTTATCATTTGCCCTTTAATCCCAGCACTCAGGGATCAGAGGCAAGCAGATTTGTGAGATCCAGGCCAGCCTGGTCTACAGAGCGAGTTCCAGGTCAGTTGGGGCTGTGTCAGTGTCTCAGAAAACAAACAAATAAAAACATTGACATTACCACTAAAGAAAAAGTGAAAACTATATATAAAGTCATAAAACATGAGATCTATAGAAGGAAAACAAAACTATGATGCATGAACTCATAGGAAAACTAAACTCATGAAATGGAAGGCTAAGTATTGTTGAAATGACAATTCTTTCCAACTTTATCTGCAGATTTAGCATAATTCCAATCAAAAGCCAGCCCAGCAAGTTATTTTATGGACACAGACAAACTGATTCTCAAGAATCAGTTTATGGAGAGGTAAAAGATAGCCAACACAAATGAGACTGGAGGACTAAAACTCAAGAGAGAAGTCTCAGACAAGCCAAGCTGCCTAGAAGACTGTCAGACCAGTGGAGCTTCCTAGAAAAAACAAGAGACCAGCCAGGCTGCCTTAGAAGAGACACAGACCAGCTGGGCTGCCTGGAAGAGACTCTCTCCAACAGGTCAAACTGCCTTCAAGTTGTGTAGTGAGCTTCCAGCTTTCATGAGCTGTCACCCATGCTAGGGTGGGCTTTGGTGATGCAGCTGTCTTTGAGTCATTACTGCTCCTATAAGTGACCCCTCACCCATACTGCTATAAATGACCCAATAAACTCACTGGTTCACACAGCTGGATTTGATATCATCATTTCCTTATCTGGGGTGAGTAGATCATATCTCCCCAAGAATAGTGCTATACAACAGTATGATGGTACGTATCTATAATTCCAGTGCTTAGGTGGCTGAAACAGAAGGATCATGAGTTCAAGGTTATCCCGGACAACATCCCGTTTCAAAAAAAAGCAAATAAACAAAAACACACCTCAAAACTGGGCATAGGGGATCCAGCTACAATCTCAGCATTCAGGAGGTGGAAGCAAAAAGATTAGCAGTTCAAAATCATCCTTAGCAACACAGTGAGTTTGAGAGCACCCTGGGCTACATGAGACCTTGTCTTAAGAAAACAAAACAAAACAGAACAAATGACGGGATGGAGAGATGGCTCAGCAGTTAAGAATACTTGCTCTTGCAGAGGATCCAAGTTCCAAGACTGAGGTTTGGTTCCCAGCACCCATATAGTGGCTAAACAACCATCCATAACTCCAGTTCCAGAAATCTAAATCCCTCTTCTGACTTCCGAAGGCACTGCATGACATGGGTGTACTCACACACATAGGCAATATACTCATACACATAAAATAATAAAACATTACACAAACAAACCGAACAAAGAAAAACCCTCAAAATGGATTATAAAGCCAAATATAAAACACAAAACTGTCTAACTCCTAGAAGTTAACAGAGTTGAAAAATGTAGATGAGTTAGGCTATGACAATGATTCTCTAGGTATAACACTGAAAGCACAATCCATGAAAAAGAACTGATAAACTGGGTTTCATTAAAATTAAAAACTTTTACTTTGAAAAAGACATTGTCAAAAGAATGAAAAAAAAAAAAAAAACTACCACAGACGGAAAAATAAATACTTCAAAAGATTTGAGAAAGAACTTTGACTCAACATATACAAAAACCCACTTAAATTTAAAATAAGAAAACAAAGACCCAATTAAAAATAGTCAATGATGTGAAATGACATATTACCAAAGAATATAAACAGATGGTAAATAAGCACTGAGAGGATGCTCCACATCATATGTCATCAAGGAACTGAGAGTTAAAACAATGAGATACCATTATTCTAGGTATATACCTATTAGAACAGCCAGAGCCTAAACATCAATATGCAGCAATACCAAATGCTGACAAGGAAGCAGAGCAACAGGAATTATCACTGCTGGAGGGAATTCAAAACTTACACTCTGGAGCCGGGCGTGGTGGCGCACACCTGTAGTCCCAGCACTAGGGAGGCAGATGCAGGTGGATCTCTGTGAGTTCAAGGCCAGCCTGGACTACATAGAGAGTTCCAGGGCAGCTGGGGCTACAGGGAGATACTGCTTCAAAAAGACAAAGAAAAAAAACAAACCAACAACAAAAAAACTTACACTTTGGAAGACAGTGTGGCAGTTTCTTATAAAAAAATTAAAGCATACTTGCCATATGATCCAGAAATCAGCTCCTTGTATTTACCCAAATGAGCTGAAAATTTACGTCGGCAGAAAAACTTGCACAGCAAGTTTTATAGTAGCTTTATTCAAAGGTTGCCAAGTCTTAGGAGTCATTAAGACATCCTTCAGCCGGTAAAAGGATAACTTCAAACAGTGACATATCCACATGATAGAATACTATTTAACGTTTAAAAAAAAAAGAAAAGAAAAAAAGAAAACGAAGAAAAAAGCAGCTATTGGGCTGGTGAGATGACTCAGCTGGTAAAGGTACCTGCCACAAGCCCTGGGACCCATTATGGTAGAGCGACAACTGACTCCCACATGATCCCCATGAATGCATGCACACACACAATAAATTTTTTTAAAGCTGTCAGAAAAAAAATTTTAAAGCTATCAAACCATGAAAGAGGAATGGAAGAACCTTAAATGTACACTACTATGTGAAATTAACCTGAAAAGCACAGCATTCTAGAAAAGGTAAACCACTACAGAGTCAGTAGAGTAAGCCAGGAGAGGGCCTAAGGAGGGGGCAACAGGAAAAGCATGCATTTTTCAGGGCAATGGAAATACTCTTTATCATATGTGTGTGGATATATTTCATTATTACATACTTGACTTCACACCAAGAGTGAACAGTAAAGAATACAACAGACTTTGGGTAATAATATGCTGCTGTAGGTTCATCAATTGTAACAAACTGTAACAGTGGAGAGAAGCTGTGCATGTCTGGAGGCAGGAGATATATGGGAACTCTGTCGGTCCTCAATATTTCTATGGTTCTAAAACTGCTGTAAAAACTTGTCTATTTTAAGACCTCAAACAAGTAGAACATGGTAGTGCACACCTGTAATTCTAGCAGCTGGGAGGCAGAGACAGCAAGATTACTGCAAGTGTGAGGTCAGCTTGGTCTACATAGGGAGTTCCTACATAGTGAGACTGTCTCAAAAGGGAAATAAAAAAAATATATATACATAGACATCCAAAAACATAGCTGTTCACTATCTTCAATTATTTTATCCAGCTAAAAGTGATTATTTCTACTATGGATCAGAAGGCAAAACCATAAAACTATTGCCTGATCTGTCCTCCCTCCATCCCTCTGTCCCTCCCTCTGTCTCTCCCTCCCTTCCTTTCTGTAGAAATGGGAATAGAAAAAGAGCATGTTTTCACTATTAAAACAAAATCTTCCACATTGTGAACCAAACTAGTTAGAAAAAAAGGAAAAGCAAAAAAGGAAATAAATGTATTGTTTGAAATAACTAAGGGCCCTAGGCTGAGTGTCCTCAAGGTTGCTGAACCCAGACTTAGGGTGACCCTACAAGACAACCTTGCATCTTGTTTAGTGTCTTGAGTGGCGTTATCTTCTCTGGTCTCTTGCTATTGCTTTGACTTTTTGAGATTGGCTCTACCTTAGGGTAGCTTATAACTCACAGAAATCTTCCTGCCCAGGTTCCTCTGCATTCTTTTATCTCAGAGCAGATGTCCTTCAACAGCACCATCCCACCCAAACAAACCTCAGCACTCACCGTTTTAGGAGAACTCGTCTCTGCTTCACAGCAGCCATATCAAAACCTAGGTCTATGGTTTTGTGAATCCGTGCCCTCACTTCTGCACTACAGAAGAAATCCTTATCACTGTCTGCATCATGTACACCTAGTACTGAGCGAAACTGGAATGCAGTGGGACCAGGAGGGAAAGTTCTCAAAAGGAAAACAGGGACAAGAATAGGAGGTAGGAATTGGCTAGGCAGTTGAGTTAAAAAGACCCCAAAGAACAGTAGCCAGTTTCTTGGCTAAAAGTCAAAATGTCCTTGGGACTGTAAGCAACATACTCTGTTCCAAAGGCCAAAAATGTCAAAAGTATTTGGGAGCTTGCATCTAATCCTTAAAAGATTTTAGGGTTACCTCTTCAGAGGGGGGAATGTTAGAGTAGAAGCAGCTAGGGATTGATCCACTGAGCTATACATCCTAGCCCATACCTTATGATTTCTAACCTTTAGCCTTAGAAAGCATTACATTATCTTAATGGTAATTTAAGCCTCAGAATGAGAATCAAAGAACTTACTTTTCAATTTTCTTCTTTTGTTCCTTTTGCCTTTTTTGTTCTTTCACTTGTTCTCTCTCAATATCCATAAAAAGCCTTCTGTGTCTCAGGAATTGCTTTTGACGCTAAAACAAAGAAGTTAAAATTAAGACTATTTACAGAGAACTTTCCAAAGAAGGAAAATATTCTTATTCTATGGAGAAGAAAACTATAAGATACAAAAGTTACATGGGACTAAGTCAGGCTATAACAACATACCCAACAAAAATTTTATGCTTTCAAGCACATACCTTTTTTGTTAATAACCAGTGAAAAAGCAAATTTACTTTATCCTCAGTAAATGCTAAAATAGTTATATGAGCTGAAGAGAAATCAGAGTATTAGTTTACACTTAGTAAATATAGTCCACTTGTTAATAGTACTTAGGGAATGGTTATATTTGATACAGTGCAATGTATATTTACTCTGTGCTCTCAAATTGTATCATAAAAGCAGGGCCAGAAGGAATATATTGTTATATAACAGAATGACAGCCCATTTCACTTTTCAAAGCTAGAATCACAGCACAAAAACACACTCTAAGACTAGCCAAACATGATAAGGAGAAGCACAGAAGGGATGAAGTGTATTGGAATCACGCGTGTAAATGGGGCAAGCATAATAAAAGCAAGTGCTACTACACTGCGCATAATCTGTTTATACCTCTGGATTTATGCACTCTCTTTTAAGGACACATTACTCAAAGGGCTAGCATATCTATAGATATACTAGGATGATATATGACCTTTTTGTTTAAAAACAAAAAGTCTTTAAAACCTAATTTGAAACTCTTGTTATTGAAGATGCATCACCAGTGGCAGTTTTGAAAAACATAAATGCCCCAAAGCCTTTCTGCTAGTGATTCAATATATCTGCACTGGGTACAGACACCTGCAATTTGAAAAATGTTTCACATCTGAGGCTGGTGCACATAGCCAGGATTTAAAACTGTCAGTTTAAACTAACTTTTAATTGAAGGGGGAGAGAAACATTAATTTAAAATATTCAGTTATGGTGGTAAACACATATAGCTAGAGAAATTTACTTGGATCGTATATTTGATTTCACATTAAAGCACCTGAAATCCTAGGAGCCTGGAAAAGAATTTAAACAATTGATAATGACTTAAAATCTTTGGAATTTATTATTTTAATGTGTTGGAATCCAGCACATTGCTTCCAACTTCACAAAACATCAGGAACAGCACCACTACATACCTCTTTCTTGTCTTCTTCTTGATCCACTCCAGACTGAAATGCTAAAAAAGCTTGGAATCCAGTGTCCAGTCCTGTCTGATACTCATCATAAACCTGTTAAAAAGCCCAGGTACAAAGAGTGACAAAACTGCCAGCAGTACTGTGAACCCTCTTGATATATCTGTCTACTGATTGTTTCTTTCTACAAGTAGCATGGCATGGAAGAAACAGAGGACGATTTCCTACCATATTTTCTAGAAAAGCCTTATGGCCTAAGTTTCCACACCTACCCGGACATTATAACAGTCAAGTTATAATCTCCAACTTACATTTCTATGCTTATGATGAACAGTCTGGAAAAAAAAATTTTTTTTTTTTTTTTTGGTTTTTTTGAGACAGGGTCTCCCTGTAACCCCAGCTGTCCTGGAACTCATTATTTAGACCAGGCTGGCCTTGAATGCACAGAGACCCGCCAGCCACTGCCTCCCAACTGCTGGGACTAAAGGCATACGTCAGCATGCCCAGCCCATAAACAAAAACTTAAAGATTCAATTTACATTACGATCAAGAAGAATAAAGTTCTTAGTAATGAATTTAACAAAATAAGAATGAATTTTATATTCTGAAACCTGGAAAAACACTGAAAGAAACTAAAGGACACCTAAATAAATGGAAAATCATCTTGTGTTCATGTATTTGAAGACCTAATATCATTGTTCAGATGATGTCTACAAATTGATCTACAGAACTAATGAGATTTTCCTCCAAATTGCAGCTATTTTTTGGTAAAAATTGGCAAGATCATCCTTAAATTCCTACAAAAATGTAAGAGCAAGAACAGCTGAGATAATCTTTTAAAGATTATAGGATTTACTTTTAACAACACTCTACAACAAATAGTCAACAAAGGTTCATTAGTACAAGGACATAGATTAATGGAATACAATTCAAAATTCAAAAATAAACTGTTACATTTACAATCAACTGATTTTCGTTTTTTAGTTTTAATTTTTAAAATTTTTTTAAATTTAATAATCACATGATTAGAAGCATTTCATTACAGCTTTAACATATTCAGTAAC